CGCAGAGGCTGAGGCTGAGGCCACAGTCTCCAGGCAGTACGGCTGCTTCCTGCCCGGGAGCTGGCACACAGGGAGAGGAGGAGCATGGGTCGTTAAAGGGCACGTACGATGGAGGTGCAGAGAGGAAGATTTGTATTCGTCCCACAGTGGAGTTGAATCACCGGTTACAGAAGAGTAGGAATGAGGAGCACACAGAACAAGATAAATGAACAATAACTCTATACTAAAATCTAAAATCTCTAGCTTTAGCATAATGCGGAAGCCAATCTAAAATCTCCAACTTTCAATAATTAGATAAATAATAATAGAAAAAGACTGTATCATTAAAGGGGACATATGATGGAGGTGCCTGTGTTTTTATGACATATATGAACTGCTATGAGCTCTCACCGTGAGCAGAGGCACCAGGTGAGACAGACTGTCCCGCAGATAGGCGTAGTGTCTGAAGGTGTGGTCTGAGAAGAGCGCGGGCATCGTGGGACAGGTCTGGGCTGCGTTGAACACCAGCACCAGAACAGCTATGTCTGTAGAAACATCAGCATTACAATCAGATACTGGAGGGGCCTCAGAGGAGCAGGAAATGCAAATACAAGTGTTGTTGTATTCTTTACATTAGAGTACGGGCCGATGACAGTCCCGTATAAAGCTTTACACTCAAAAAAACTGAAGTAATGTTTATATCAGAGCTTGAAATGCAGGTCGATAAAGAAAACTTCTGGTCTGATTCTGCGGTGGTCCTCGCTTACGGACTTTACAGTCTTAATGAAGTGCTTTGTCTCAAACTGTTTTAAGTTTAAGACTTGCAACTCAAGTAAACAAAGAAAGTGAAATATTTTCCGTCTCACTCTGTTCTCCAGCTCTTCAGTGCTTCTCAAAGTCATTTGACCAGAAAAGTGCAAGTGTAGAGTAAAAACTAAGAAAGCTCAGCCTCGTGCAGCAAGAAGATTTCCCCAAGAGATAGAAAGGGTCCTTTATGAGGTTTCCAGCCACAGTGGAAATATTACGGTACAGGGCTGCTTTTCTTCAGAGGGGATAGGAAAACTGATCCGTATTAATGAAAGGATGAATGGGGCCATGTATTGTGACATTCTTCCATTGAAGATAGGAACAATGAGGTATGAAGCTATGTTAAACCGATGCATTACTAAAGTATTTGCTTATTGATGACTCTTCTGAAGGCGGTGCATAAGTGCTGTGCGTACAGGCGGGGTCGTCCATATCGGGCTCTGGAGTATCGAAGTACGGGTGTGTGCTGAGGAGCTCGGGCACCAGCGGCAGGACCAGGGTGGGGTGGCGCTGGCCCACAAACTTCAGGCACCTGAAGAGCAGGGATGAAGTCAGACAGCGTGGATTTACACGGAAAATATCAATATACAAAGACAACGTTAAAGCCTCGCGTCACACGGTGAAAGTGAGACGTGTTCTTACTTCCACACAGAGTTGCGGTCTGTGGGGTATTTGTTCAGGTTTTTGAGCAGCTCCAGCAGAGCCAGCTGGATGCACTCTTTGGTTGACACATTGGTGTAGCAGAGTAACTCGTGCAGAGCCTCCCTGATGTCCCGGGACGAGTCCTGCTCACAGACAGACACAGACACAGACACACACACACACACACACAGACACACCCAGGCACACCCAGGCACGCACACACACACACACACACACACAGGCACACACACACACAGGCACACACACACGCAGACAGGCACACACACACACACACACACACACACACACACACACACAGGTTTTAGATGGACCTGGATAAATGAGTGCATATTGATCTGGAGTAATGAGAGCAGCACCTCCAGGACTGCCAGCACTGTGTCCAGCTGGTCCTCCCTCAGGGTGATGTGGGTGGAGATCTCTCTCAAGACATGGATTGACTGCAGCCGGACCTCTTCTATCTCGTCATTGAACATATCCACCAGAAAGTCCAGGCACTTCTCTGCAAAGCTGGCAGAGGAGCGGGCCAGCTGGCACAGAGCCTCCACCGCAGCGATCCTCACCTCTGCACAAAGCAGGTTAGTTTGAGCCTTTCACTCTTGGTTTCTCATGTGTCTGTGTCTCTCACCGAACATCTCGTCCTCCAGCCCGTGCACAAAGGCCCCACAGGCCCCTGACGCCATCAGGTTCACAGTGTTGGTGTCCAGCTTCTCTTTGGGGGCGTCGTCTGCCCACTTCCTCCCAGACGAGAACTCTCCAGAGGTAAACAGCTCCTTGGCCCTTTCATGTGCAGTGCGCTTACGCTGGACACAACACAACACAGTGGCATGCTAATGTGAACTCTGACACCTGTGGGGCTTCTACAGGGGCCAGGCCACTGCTCAGGGGCCCCTCGAGCCCTCAGGACACAGCAGGACTTACCCGCAGGTCTGACATGAGCTTCTTGTCCAGCGTCTGCTCCAGGAAGTGTGGGCTGACCTGCAGCATGTTCCCCTGAGATAGAGAGCACACATACAGTATATATATATATATATATATATATATATATATATATATATATATATATATATATATATATATATATATATATATATATATATATATGTAGTATGGAGGACACATCTGAGCCTCATGTTTGTACCAGGGTTTTAGCAGCTTGGACTCGCACCATCCAGGAGCCGTCACTGACCATGTGGCTGATCTTTCCAAAGGCATCGTCCACCAGACGGATCTCCTCGTTAGAAGAAGGAATCGGCACAATACTGGGAACAATCAGGTCAAGAGTCAAGCAAGAGAAGGTGGTCTGTGGTGACTATTTAAGTATGGAAATAATGTGTTAGTGCTAACGCAAGTCTGATAGACTATGTAAAGATGTGCAATACATTTAAAAAAAAGAAAAGAATCCACTTATAAGTCAACCCTCTCTGGGGAAATATATCAGTCAAATGTAACCTCCTGAAGTTAGTGTTGGTTACAGTGATTCTCTCTAGTCCTGGATACAGCTGTGAGGATCATCCGTCTCTGTCTCAGTAATAACATGTACCTCTCGGGGTAGAGCTGGCTGAGCACCCACACCATCTGCACAGCGGCTGAGCGCACCTGCTCAAAGTCATCAGACAGAAGCCTGCACGCCTAACACACACACACACACACACACACACACACAAACATATTTAATCGTTTTTGTTTTTCTGTGTGACATAAAAACAATTCATTCAAATGGACTGCAGAAATGGAATCTATTGAAAACACTCTAAAAACTTTCCCAAATTTTCCACATATTTTCAACTTTGGAAGCATATTGTAGATGTACCTGGTCATAGATGTCCTGCTGGATGGTCATGCCTCTGCTGTGGAGCTGCAGCTGCGACACACACACACACACACACATTAGTACAGCAGAATGAAGGAGACAAAGACAGCTCCTACCATGGCTTTGAGAGCAGCTGTTCGCACTCGAGGGTCCTGGTCTCCAAAGTAGTCACTGATGATGCCCTGAACATCCTTCTGTCCTACACCCAAACAACAACAAAACAAAACAGAAAAGAAGCATATTATTAATTATTCTAAAATCAAACAAACCTTTGCGCTAAAAAAGTCCTTTGCGTTAAAATGTCCTAAAAGAAATGCTATTCATATTTAAGACAGGGGTCATTCCACAAAATGCAGTTCATTAGAAAATGATTCAACCCTGTCCTACGCACTCAGAGCTTTCTGTTGAGTGAACATGGCGTTTCCTGGTACCTGTGGCCAGAGCGTCTTTGTCCAGAACTGAAGCAGAGCAGGTCAGACCCACACAGCCCAGCAGCTGCAGGCAGTTGTTCCTCACTCCGAAGTATGTGTCGGAAAGATGCTGAGGAGAGAGAGGCGGACAGAGTGTGAGTGTGTGTGTGTGAGTGTGTGTGTGTATGTGTGTGTGTGTGAGTGCATGAGAGAGTTCACCTGACAGGACACCTGCACCAGGCGCTGCCGGACAGAAGGTGTGTCCGTGAGCTGAGAGCCAATCAGCAGCAGGGCGTGGAGCAGCTGGGACAGCACCTGGTGGGACTCTGCACACACATTTATACTCAATAAATCCTATTGTTATACAGTATGTTCTCTCATCTAAAACAGACCTGGAGTTGTTTTTTCTCCATCCACACTAATGTCTCAAACTCAACCCACCCACACCTAATGTCCAATAGGAATGGAGCCTGAGCTTTGGAAGGGCTCATGGCTAATCTCTGTCTACAGCAGCAGATAGAAAGGTGAAAGGCTCGTACTCTCTGTGCTGAGTGTGTTGATGGTGTCCTCCACGATGCAGTCAGGCCTGAAGCCGGGCGTTTTGGACAAGTGCCCGATCAGAGAGGCAATCTTCAGACGCACAGAGTTATCCACCTCCTGAGCACACAAACACCACCAGAGCTCATTACCAAACGAAGCTAATGAAATGACTACATCTTCTATTTTAGTTCTTACAATTATAGTTTGACCTGAATAATAAATAGGGATAGGATCAGGGACAAGACAAGAAAAGATGAAAGACTGGGTCCACAAGCACTAAATAAGACATATTTATCAAGTATGTTGGGATGAGAAAATTACCAATATAGACGTTAAACATAATCAAAAGATATAATATTAAAAGCAACATTTAGCACAGTTATGGCGACATAACAAATGGTTTGTGATGATAAAAACATATCATATAATCCCTTTTTTGGACTGTCTTGACTTGCAAGATCTAGTCCTAACCCAGAGTAAACCTTGTACCTTGTAGTAGTGCTCGAGCAGGATGCGGATGACCCCCTCCACGCTCTCGGCCTCCACGGAGCGCCTGGCAAACTGCAGCAGGTGCTGGAGGGCGTCGGTGGAGCTGGCCGCCTTGCACAGGTCCACGTGCAGCGCAGCGGACTTACTGGGTTTGGACAGACGCAGCCTCTTCGCCGGAGCCTCATCCTGACTGAGCTGTGGACCGGAGGAAAGAGGCCGTCACTTCACGGACAGTCCTTCTCCTTTAAGAGCTAAACAGTATAACAGCTGATAAGTTCAGCATGTGAATTGTTTTAAGTGCAGCAAATGGAAGTGGGTTTACCAACTACGCCCTTTTTTGAGGTTTGAATAATGTGACATGAAAACGACTCAGACGCGGAGTCGTTTTAGCTCTATCCATGCGACCCTGGGGTATGGATTTATCAGTCATAATCTGATTCTGAACAACACATTTGTAATTTTGTGACATGTCCTTAAAATTATCTGCTAACATCAACACGTCTGCTCATATTTCAACTGCTTGCATTGGGGGTTAGAAAAAGGGCTTTTTGATAATCAATCAAATTAGCAATTGTTCTTCTGATTAGTCGTTTACAACATATTGATACTTGTTCCCTGTGGGAGAAATTCAGGAGTCCAGCAGCAGAATCACAACATCCATACAAACATTAATGAATACATCATTCTAACGTTACTAACAATAGTAATAAAGTGCACAAGTTTTATAGCCAAAAGAAGATATGTTTAATCTATATTTGATCCAGAAAAACCTGAAGTGAAGCCACTGAAGGACAACATAAAAGATCTTTCCCCAGAACAGACTGTTTTATCATTACGTTTACAAATGAGACATTTGTACAGTTCCGTACCATGGACTGTAAATATTATAATACTAAAAACACGTGTGGGAGCTGTTAGTGATCAATCCATGACTAAACACACATGTATTTACTATTGACAATTTCACAATCCTTCAGTGTTTCTGTCTGCAATCCAGTGAACCTCAGCCATGTTATTCGTGCCTTCGTTTAAACAAGAGAAGCAGTAAACCAGTAATAAACACAATATAATCTGATAATGCAACAAAAAATGCAAGTCATTCAGAAGCTGTTTTATAGAATGTTTTGCGAGCGGTAAAAGCTGAAACGGAGACCATCCTTCTCAAAGTAGACTTGTGACGTGGTCTTTTATGTTTATATACAGTGTAGCGTGGGTTTGGAGAAGGTAAACTAAACACGTGATAAACAAAATAGTATTGAAATGTTGGTCGATTTCATAGTGACTTTGTTTACTTTTTTATTTGTTTTATGTCTGTACTTGTCTTGTGCACACTGGGAACTTTTGCTAAAGTATTCCAATGTGGTTTTACTGCAAATGGCGAATAAATGAAACTGATCTGAATCTGCATGTGAGCATAGACCTGTGGAAACCTCTTCTTCAGACTGACCTCAAAGTGAATGCTGTGTTGTTAGTGTCTTGTGTTTTTTTTTTTGCTTTACCAACAACATAGACACTACTTTGGCCAAATGTTTTTATATCATTTAAATAAGATTCACGTAAACCAGTGAAGAGTGCTCAGTACGTAAAATATGACTTTTTATGAATTTTACGTCTTGAAAAACTGTCCCATCCAAGTAAACTGTAATATCAAAACAAAGCAGTGCTAGCAGCGTTAGCATCGTTAGCATGTTAGCTCCGAGCGCTTGTTGTCGGTGTCCTCTCTGTGCCCAGAAGAGCCCACAGAGGACGGGGAGGGGTGAGGAGGATTCACGGTCTGGGAAAGGAATTCTCACCTGAACAGTTTTAGTAAACTCCTCGTAAACGCGCTTCTTCAGGTGCGCAGCCATGTTCACTCAGGCAACTCCACAGGAAGCGCGTTCTCGTTTGTCCACAGTCGCTCTCCGTAGTCTGGACTGCGTCATGAAGCCACCTGCTGGTCACGGGGAGAACTACACTACTGATATGAGAAGTGTACTTTATATTTTACAATAACATTTAACTATATGCACTCCAGTTTCGAGTTCTATCCTTTAAATTGTAGTTTAAACATTGAAACACAAGGTTTGAACCTCATACCATCAAAAATATATTTCCTGTTAAAAAAAAAAATCTTAAGTCTGTAAGGTCTAAGTCTTAAACTGCTCCATAAGACCAAATATGGTTCGTGTTTTAAATATAGCATTATCTGAGGTTTTAGTCTTATACACCCAATGCAAACAGTATAATCTGCAGCCCACGACCAGACCAATTCAACAGTACTCCGTGCCCTTGAGGACTTCTGGGTGACAACTTATTAAATCCCCAACACCTGCCTTCATGTGGTGCAAGTGGTGGTTTAGTCACCTTTATGCTGGATCGTCTCCAAACTTATTTATGCGTTACATTACCCAAAGACCTTCATATATTGCCCCCAGGGAAACAGTCTCATGTGAACCATCTTGCCTCCAAAATATAAATTAACATGTTCATGGTAAAACTAATCCAACTGATAAGCATCTTTATACAGATCGGACAAGAGTCAAAACGGCTTTTCCACTTTTTTTATTTGTACACAAAAATCAGCAGGTGGATCCACGTGATGAAGCCTGCAACCTGAAACAAAGACAGCAGATTCAGCTTGTGCAATAAAACTTTATATTAGACTTATTCCTAATCAAGTACAGCGCGACAAGGTCTTTGAGCAGTTATAAAGTTTGTAGCAGCTGAATACAGAACTACACGAGTCATTGCTTTACACAGATAGCAGTATCTCCACAAGTCTCCCTCCTCAGACTAATGCCTCAGGGTCTTCAGGCCGGGCCCCGCTTTGCTCAGGGGCCACAGAACGTTGCCCCTAAGACAAAGGCTGGGCCCCTCAGACTCGTCATCTGCTCATCATCAGAGGGACAGTAGATCCTTTGACCTCTCCTACATCAGTGGCCCCCCACATGGAACACCCACACCCTCAACCCAAACCGTACCTTTTATGCGGTGGGGACAGGGGCCTGGGGCATGACTGGCACCTCTGGCTTGGCCCCCTTTTGCTCGGAGATGGGGGTGGTGGGCAGGTTCTCCTCTTTGGGCTCCACGATGCTCACATGGTCGGGCAGGGGCTTCTTGGGGCCGATCTTGCCGCTGGGGTCCCACGGCAGCATGATCTTCACCTTAATGCCCAGGACTCCTGCGAGGCACGGCACAGGACAGGTTTTCAGTTCAATTATTCAAGTCAAAATGACACTTTCAGCATAAACATCTGTAGATGGGTGCTGTAATGCACGGTCAGGACCAGAGCTGGAGGATTTTACCAACTGCACATGTTTTTAGTGGAAGGAGAGAACATTCAAATTACTCAGAAAGACCTTGTTCTGACCGGGATTCGAACCCAGGAGTGCGAACTACTGTCACTCTCAGCATATATTCTCACCAGGGCTCGGTATTCTACAGTGTTAATGTGGCACGCCCCTTTCAAGTCACTCAAAAGGATTTACCAACAACATGCTTGTCATTATAAATGCATAGTTTAACATTGTGCAATGATAACTGGTTTCACGTTCTGTAGCATGTAAAAGCCAAAACATCAAAATGACAATCGAGTCACTGTTAGGGGGGTTGTGAAATTTGGATAAAATGCTAAATGCAGCTTTTTTTCCTCCTGACTGGAGAAACTGTAGCATGTCTTAATCCCAGCGCAGCACGTGTTAGCAGTGCTTCTAACCCCCAGAGTGAGGCGCAGTACCTTGCCGCAGCAGGACGTGGCGCACGGCGGTGTCCACGTAGTAGTTGACTGGGTCTCCGCTGTGGATCATCAGGCCGTCCACAAACTTCATGGACTTTGCCCTCTGACCTCTGAGCTTTCCGGACACCACCACCTCACAACCCTTGGCGCCGCTCTCCATGATGAACCGCAGCACACCGTAGCACGCCCTGCAGACACCAGAATGACACATGATTCACTGCTTTGAAGCCTGACGTTAGTTTCTGAGACATGAAAAAAAAAACCTGCTTTATTTACTTAATGCACTTACGCTTTTAAAAACTGCTAAAATCCCTCAATCTCTTTCCCTCAGGCAGAAACCACTTTGGACGAGGCTCTTTATCTGATTTACAGTCAAGTTTGTCCCTGCAGTTTCAATACATCTCTTTTTGGAAGTATTTCTGAAACTACATTTGATGAAGCTTTTGTAAATTTAATAAAAAAACGATACATTTGTCCATCTGAAACTATAACATGTGCTCCGATCCCAGATTCTACCACTGCAGGAGGTCAGTTATGCTAGCACAGGGGTCGGCAACCCGCGGCTCCGGAGCCGCATGCGGCTCTTTAGTGCCCCTTGAGTGGCTCCTGGAGCCTTTTCAAAAATGTCTGAAAATGGAGTGGGAAGGGTATATTTTATTTATAGTTTCAATGTGGTTTCTGTAGGAAGGACAACATTCTTAATGTTTTCCAATGCAGTAAAAATGTGCATAAGAAATATTTAATTTTAACATTTGTGTCAACTGAGATGTGCGTCATATCCTGCAACGCGCGGTTACGCGGCCCCGCGCCGGGCGGCCGCTGTTGTAAACAAACCAGCATGTGCCACATGAGTCCGCATAAATCCCAAAGCTAAAAAGGGAAATACTTGATAAGAACCAGGAACTCAAGGACAAATGGACTGTAACATTTGGCTCTCATTGAGTCAATGAGGAAGGACTGCTTCATGTTTGCTTTGTAATGAGAATATATTGAAGAACAAGAGTCATGTGGAAAATCGGCTGCTGACCCCAGTTTGGAGAGAAACAGTGCGATCGCAGTTATTCTGGAGCGGATTCATCTCCAAACTTCTACTGCTCAATTTTGTTGCAACACGAGGAACAAAAAAGTGCGAAACACCGTTCGGGACATTCAGCTCCAGCCAACTCCAGCCGTGACGACGTGTGACGTGATCGATATGAACAGAAAGTGCTGTAATGCAGGTATGTGAACTCTGAGCCAAAAACTGATTTATTTACTGTATTTCTGCAATTGCATGAACGCAACAAAAGGAAAGTTAAACTTAAAGCATATATCGTATAGCAGAGTAGTCACATGGTGCGTCACTCTCTTGCACTACAGTGAAAATGTATATATATATAATAATCATGAATGCATATTATGTATTTGTAGCCTATACTTACTCATTTTGATAGTAGGCTAATACAGCTTACAGCCTGTGTTGCTTTCATATAAACCTTAAAAAAGGCAGTAAAGTTTATGCGGCTCCAGACAGATTTGTTTTTTTTATTTTTGCTCAAATATGGCTCTTTGAACTTTTTGAGTTGCCGACCCCTGTGCTAGCACCATCCTCACACCTCTTCAGACAAATGCCTCAGGGTCTTCAGGTTAGGCCCCGCTCTGCTCAGGAGCCACAGAACGTGACTACAAACACAGAAGCAGGGGCCCCTCCGACTCGTCATCTGATCATCATTAGAGGGTCAGGTCTAACAATGGAGTCAGACTGGAAGTTATCCGAGTTTAGTATGAAACATCACAATGATCACCAGTCTCAGCGGGTTGGACCATTTCTATTTAAATTCAGACCAACTTTGATTATCAAAAGTTTCTTCCCGCTCATCTCATTCTACAGTCTAAAAGGTTGATTCATGCGGACAAAACATTTGACACATGTCCCATTTAGTCTTAACACATTGAAGTCAGATTTTATTACTAAAAAGGATAATTTAATTCTGTTTTTACATCCCTACTCTCCATGTACAACAGATTTAGTTCAAAGCCTGGACTGACCTCCTGACGGCTAGACCGCCCAGCAGCTTGTAGCGCAGGGACTCAGCCTGGGCGATGGCGCACAGGCCGCGGGTGGCCACCTTCTCTGCGTACAGCTGCAACACAAGGTCAGGGGGTGAAGGTTAGGGGCAGGTGTGATGTGAGGTCTGACCAGAGGCAGCAGCGACGCCTGTTACAACTATGGTAACTCTGTACTATGTGTAACAAGTCTCCCTCCTCAGACAAATGCCTCAGGGTCTTCAGGCTGGGCCCTGCTCTGCTCAGGGGCCACAGAACGTGGTCCCTAAGACAGAGGCAGGGGCCCCTCCGACTCGTCATCTGATCATCATCAGAGGGACAGTAGATCCTTTGACCTCACCTACATCAGTGCCTCCACATGGAACCCTTTTACCCTAAACCCAGTGACCAGCCTTAACCTCTGCACATGAAGTCGAATCTGCAGAGTCCAGGGAAACCTGAGGGTCCTGGGTTCAACTCTCGGTCGGAACAGACTTTGAGTGGAGTTTAAATGTTCTCCCCGCGTCTGCGTGGTCTGCAAAAGTCAGTGGACTTTCCTCCACCGGCCGTACGGGATCCCGTCCTGGAATTATCAGAACTGGTACTGACTGCTCAATAGTGTGGGCCTATATTAACCTTAGACTTTAGCGTTACGTAAAACTGCTCAGTCGACAGGGAACCTACAGCTTTCACACTTTGTGGGTGATTTAAGTGTCCATCATTCTCAATTTTAAAAAAAATCCATGGATGATATCCAATCCGGGTTTCTATAAATACTTATGTGCAACAAACTGCTCGCTCTTGCGGCGACTGGTCAGAACGCTCATTGAAAGCGATTTTAGATAAAACTGCAACTTTATTATCTACCACCCAATTGGACACACATTGGAGCATTTAAAAAGAGAAATGTGTTTAAGCTTTGTGCAGGTCAAGTTTAGATGATCTGCCACCACAGAGAGCCTGAAGCTTTGGAAATCATCTGATCATGTGCCAATATGACCGTCTATTTGTGATGCACAATTGTTTACCTTTACACATGGCAGTGTTTACATCATTGAATATTTACATCTATCTTTTCATTTTGCAGTACTACAAGGAGCTAGTAAAGACACCTGGAGCGTTCCAGAGTTTCTGCAGCTGTGAAACTAGTGACCTGTGACATTCCATTACATCTGAAACACTTCTCACGGGTCTTCAGTCTTACCTCCACACTGCCCTCAGGGAAGCCGAACCTCTTCTGCACCACTGCGGTCAGCTCTCTGATTCTGCGCCCCTTCTCCCCAAGAACGTTCTGGGTCCTGGGGTCAAAAAGGGTTTCGTGAGTTGGTTTAAATTCAGCAATGTCAAAGTTCAAACTTGACTCTTAATGACACGTGCAGTGTTAACCACAATAGGCAACCATGGCGACCACAGTCCGACAGCAACCTACACTGGATTGTGTTACGCAGCATCTAAATATTTTCCAGAACAACTTTAGTAAATCCTCGTTCGGCCCCAATAGAATCCGGTGCTGGTCAGTCTCTGTCCAGATGAAGCGGCTGTGCCAAAAGGGCAGCTACTTCTATCTATTGAACTCAATGAGCCCTCCTCAGACAAATGCCTCAGGGTCTTCAGGCCAGGCCCCACTCTGATCCGGGGCCACAGAACGTGACTCCAAACACAGAGGCAGGGGCCCCTCCGACTCGTCATCTGATCATCATCAGAGAGACTCAAGTTCCTACACCGCACTGGGTGAGATTGGTCATAATCCAGTTTGGCTCTTTAACGAACACCCAGCAGAGTCAAATCGGCATTTGGATGATTTGATGAAGAGTCCAATGATCACTAGCTGGGTTTTATTTTTTATTGTAAGTTTGGGCTGTACCTGATTATTCTGATAACACTTGCTACAAAAAGCCAAATGGAACATGAGGTCTTAATAACTGCTAATGTGCAAAGTTTGAGGTATATGTTTAAAAGATGTGGATCGCTGCAGCATTGTACCTGGTGGCCAGGATGATGATCTCTGTCCTGGTGGGGGTCACTCGCACCTCCACTCCGGAGTAGCCATCCTCCGCGAGCTCCCGGGTCAGGAACTCATTCAGCTCGGCCTTGAAGATACCGTCCGAAACGAACTGCACAGACACAGGTGGAAAACAATGATCATCATGTGATTAAGTCCATCCAAATAGTTTTGGACCAAAATTAATTTTCCCAAAACGCGTTTGGGGCCTGGCACTTCTTTGGATCAGCTTTGAGACAAGTGGACAGACCTAAAGCATACATTGTTAGAATACGATCCCTGGTTGTCTAAGAAAACAGGCTGTGGTTTAAATTATTATTTATACATTAACTTGTAAAAGTTAAGTCCCAAGTTTCAAACAAATACTGTAATGTCATTGGTCTAGACTCAGGACAGACCTTCAATATGATTCAGTCATTGAAGACTGATCCAACAATTACATTAAAGTGTTCTTTGGGAAGAAATTAGTTGACTACTTTTCACCTACAGAAGTGCAATTTAATCAGCACTTCCTACAGCACTGAAATACAGGTATAATGTTGGACATTAGCAGCTTCTCAGCACTAGCTACATGTCAACAGGCACAGTGTGGGCTGGAGCATTAGCCTGGAGCATTAGCCTGGAGCATTAGCCTGGAGCATTAGCCTGGAGCGAAGCTAAAGCCCATGAACCAGCTCCAGCCTCAGACGTGGAGCAGACACAGCAGCGGCTCGTCTGCAGCAGCACACCCGGCCGCAGGACACCGAGCCGGGTACAGGACAGCGCGACACGGAGCTGGCTCTGTGGCCCGCAGCGGTGAACCATGAGTCCGCTCCCGAGGATCCGTGTGAATCCTGGCCGGAACAGAGTGGAGCTGGCCCGGGGACAGCGCAGCACACAGCGGACACACACATCTCCTAGGCCCGGGCGGTATTTGTGCAACATGCGCCTCCATAACCGCAGATGGATGAAAGAAGAGCTCACCTTCCTCTTCTTTGAAATCTGCACCGCCATCTTGCTCGGGCCGCGGACAGGAAAGGACCCGGGAAGGATGCGGAAATGATTATATACTAAACACGCAGCATCCGGTGACGTCACACGACCCTGCTCTTTGCTTTTAATATACATATATATATATATATATATATATATATATATATATATATATATATATATATATATATATATATATATAAAAATATTTCAATTTTTTAACCTGTGTTAACAGAAATGAATCAATATCTATTTTAAATCGTCACTTAAACCTTTACAAGATAAGATATACTTTATTGATCTCACACAGGAGAAATGTTCATGTCACATCTGGCACGGATAGAATCACTCAGATTATGCTAAAGAAAGAAATGTGCAAACATGTTAAATGCAGGATATATTATGGACAATAAAAAATGGCAATCAAGAAGCAGTGTCAATAGTAGTGCAGGTTTTTTATTTCAGTCTTAATGCAGTGACTTAAAGTGACTTGTTGCACAGTCTGACAGCAGTGGGGATAAAGAACTGGACCCTGTTCTCCAAAGAACAGGGTCCAAGGACAGTGCTGATGATCCAGGACACTCAAGTTAGAGATTAGAGATTTTGTTTATTTTTATTAGTGTATATCTATAGTTCACTTATCTTATCTTGTGCTGTGTGCTCCTCTTTCCTACTGTTCTGTAACTTGTGATGCAACACTGAAATATCCCACTGTGGGACGAATAAAGGATCTCTTCATTTTAATCAACATTCAAAATCATTTATGGATTTTATCAACATTTATGGACATTGGTCATCTGCCAAACTTGTGTTTGAACTGTTTTATTCTCTGATCTCTGTTGGCGAATTGACAACTTTGTAAAGTCCTCAGAGAAAACTTCTGTCTGTTGTGATTTAGGGTTTTACAAAAATAAATTGAATTGAAACTTTGCTTCCCCACTTTTAGATAGTAAAAAAATAACTAACCACAGAAGGATATGTCTAATGTCTATGAGCAAAAACCAAAACCCATGACCGTGTAACAAGAAACATTTTGTCTTAAATGTTATTATATTGTTTGGTTTTATATGTATAATACTTTGATATAGACTTGATGTATGTCTGCCATGTTTGTTTATATCTGTATTTGTTTTACTACTACTACTGATAATAATAATGAAAATGAAAGGCCTAATAATAGCAATAATAATACTTTTCCACGGTACGCCATATATGTGCATACGCATTATAATCGAAATAATAATTAATTGGTTTTAAAATGCGCTTTTAAGGATTCTCAAAACCACTTCACATGTCATTATTCATTCACTCCATACACGTGGGTGATAGCCACAGCTGCCCAGGGGCACACTGACAGATGTAATGCAACCATTCTGTGCCATTGTGCCTCCCACCACCATCAACCATTCACACACACACCAGACTCATTCTAATGTGGGGGAAGTGTCTTGCCTCAGGACAGTTTACAGCCGCAGCCGCCCCACTGTGGCACCTGGTGTTCCCAAAGGTCTCCCATCACAGCACTAACCAGGCCCTGCCCTGCACAGCTGCAGGTCTGACGGGATCTGTCTATTAGCAAATATACTACATTAAGTAGATTAATTACGTCTGGTTCAATTCATCACGTTATTGATATTTTCAAATGTATCAGTCAATGAAAAAGCTCGTCACTGAATAAAGCAACAGGTGTTTTGGTGTTTTAACGCCCTCTAGCGGTCAGTTCGTGTCACTGCAATGCTTCAGAGTGCCCAAAGGAGTGCGCTTCAGGGAAACCAATTAGTGTGTTGCCAATTACTGGCGGAGTGTAATTACAAGAGCTGAACAATGTAAACACTGCCATGTGTTAAGGTAAATAATCGTGCATCATAAATAGACATAAGTCATTTTGGCAATTCATCAGAGGAAGAAGAATAGGCCGAAGAACAATCCATTTTTATTTTTTATACTTTTAAATGTAACTCAATTCAAAACAGCAAATTTGCATAGTTTGTCTGTTTATGACAACAAAACACACAACATATATCACAATCACAAACATGAAACGGCCTTTGAGACATTGAACCAAAACAACAACATGGATAACATGGATGTGGATGAACACAAAGGTCTTTATCCACAGTAAAGGCGTCACTGATGGAGATGGTCCTCGTCACTTTCACTCATTCCAGCTGCGTCTAAATATGAATAAATGAATCCTCAGCTCCTCTTGATGCGTGAGCCCACAAGATGGCGCTAGTGTTGTGAAAGTGTGTTCAAGCAGCAGCAGCAGCAGCAGCAGCAGCAGCAGCAGTAGCAGCAGCAGCAGCAGCAGTAACAGCAGCAGCAGTAATAATATAAACAAGGGGCTTCCATTGGATTAATCTCACACACTATAAACATTATTACATCGACGTATCTCTGTGGGGAACATTCAGATTATAACTATTATTACTTTTTTTCTTCCATTGACGGTTTCTCACAGTCAAACATAAAGCTCAAAGCAAAAATGGTTCCAAAATATGAAAAAACATTTAGGCCTGATTCATGGGTTATTTATGAGAACAATCCCCTTACATAATCAGGAAGTGATCCGTGGAGACGCAGAGGTCAGAGGTCGGAGCAGCAGACCCAGATTTGGCACAGACAGAATCAGATTGTGCAAAAGGAGATGAAGTGTGCAACAAGTTAAGGTTAAAAATATAGTCTGAGCAGGATATATATGTACAGTATGACATGTTTTATTGTTGGTTCAGTTTTCACATGTTTTATACCAAGACAAAATACTGGTTAGTGCTGGTTAGTGCTGCGATGGGAGACCTCTGGAAACACCAGATGCCACAGTGGGAAGTCCTTAGGCAAGACACTTCTGCCACATTAGGATGAGTCTGGTGTTTCCTCGCACATGAGTGTCACGGTGACAGAGGTTAGAGCTTGTTTCACAGCAAGAAGGTCCTGGGTTCAATTCCACCTCCAAGACTTTCTGTGTGGAGTTTGCATGTTCTCCCCTTGCATGTTCTCTGTGTAGGATTCCGACACTGTACACTAGGTCTGAATGTAATGAGTGAATGGTGTTTGGTCAGAGGCTTTGATGGACCAGTGTGTTCGGTGTCTCGCTTCACCGTGTGGAGAGAATGGAAACATTTCTGAACTCTGAACATTGTAAAGCATTGTAAAGAGACCTTGATCTGTGAAATGTGCTATATAATAAAAACATTACTTACTTACTTAAATACTGGTTTCCTCGCAAGTTTGTCCAGTGCAGCTGCCCTGGGTCTGTGTAAGCGGTGGCTGCAGCAGTAGTTTATCACCACCGTGTGTGGAGTGAATGAATAATTACATGTGAAGCGTCTTTGAGAGTCCAAAAAATCCCTTTATAAAACTGATGCATTATTATTATCATTATTAGAAGAGTCAAAGAATGAAGGACACGGAGAGCTCAGTTGTGTTGTGTTGTTCTGACATGATTCTGATGCATTTTGCTACACATCATATAAAAGGTTTTGTTTTCTTTTGTTCAGTCTGAAAAACTGAAATAATGGCCTGTTTCCAAATGAGTTCAGTGCTGCTGTCTCTGTTTCATTTCTTCACAATGTGTCAGTTGTCCAATGGCTGGTTTTCCCACACTGCTTCGAAAACATTATCTTTCACACGTTATGTTGAACGTACACATCTATGAGATAAAATAAATAACTGAATTTAAATAAACTGTTGATTTTCCAAACGAGAAAATCAAGCAGTCACATCCTGACTCTGCCAGACGCCTGTGAGATGAACTGAAGCAGGTTTATTGATCAGATCCATAACTCGGGCTCGTTGTAATCCCCCTGTGTCTCTGCAGAAAGACGGCCCCTGGAGCCGAGCTGGAGCCAGTGCCTTCACATGACCTCCGCTCCCGGCCCGCCCTGCTCCCCCTGTTCCCACAGCCACATTATCATACAGATGTGGGGCTGAAAAGGGCCTGTAGCCTCACAATGGGAGCTTTAGGCCAGAGCAGGAGCGGGGTGAGGGCTGAGGGGTGGGGGGCGTGGGGGGGGGGGGGGGGGGGGGGGGGGGGGGGACCCTGGACCCTGCAGCATCACACAGCATCTCATCATCTCCTGCCTCTGTGAAGGGGCAGCGGTTGAAAGTCTGGAGAAAGAAAAATCTCTGAAGAAACTGTTTGCATCATGCCTTTCTTTGAAAATCAGAATCCTCTTTATTTCCAGAGTGAGGAACAGGAAGTCACAGCCCGGGACATTGATTTGTGCAAGAAAAAATAGAATAAGGCAAATAAAACATATACACAACATTTCTTAAAATTACTACTATATACAAAGGCACTAAGTACACAACAGACATGTAGCAACGCACTAAGTACACAATAGACATGTAGCAACGCACTAAGTACACAATAGACATGTAGCAACGCACTAAGTACACAATAGACATGTAACAACGCACTAAGTACACAATAGACATGTAGCAACGCACTAAGTACACAATAGACATGTAGCAACGCACTAAGTACACAATAGACATGTAGCAACGCACTAAGTACACGATAGACATGTAGCAACGCACTAAGTACACAACAGACATGTAGCAACGCACTAAGTACACAATAGACATGTAGCAACGCACTAAGTACACAATAGACATGTAGCAACGCACTAAGTACACAATAGACATGTAGCAACGCACTAAGTACACAATAGACATGTAACAACGCACTAAGTACACAATAGACATGTAGCAACGCACTAAGTACACAATAGACATGTAGCAACGCACTAAGTACACAATAGACATGTAGCAACGCACTAAGTACACAATAGACATGTAGCAACGCACTAAGTACACAATAGACATGTAGCAACGCACTAAGTACACAATAGACATGTAGCAACGCACTAAGTACACAAAGTAGACATGTAGCAACGCACTAAGTACACAATAGACATGTAGCAACGCACTAAGTACACAATAGACATGTAGCAACGCACTAAGTACACAATAGACATGTAGCAACGCACTAAGTACACAATAGACATGTAGCAACGCACTAAGTACACAATAGACATGTAGCAACGCACTAAGTACACAATAGACATGTAGCAACGCACTAAGTACACAATAGACATGTAGCAACGCACTAAGTACACAATAGACATGTAGCAACGCACTAAGTACACAATAGACATGTAGCAACGCACTAAGTACACAATAGACATGTAGCAACGCACTAAGTACACAATAGACATGTAGCAACGCACTAAGTACACAATAGACATGTAGCAACGCACTAAGTACACGATAGACATGTAGCAACGCACTAAGTACACAATAGACATGTAGCAACGCACTAAGTAACACAATAGACATGTAGCAACGCACTAAGTACACAATAGACATGTAGCAACGCACTAAGTACACAATAGACATGTAGCAACGCACTAAGTACACAATAGACATGTAGCAACGCACTAAGTACACAATAGACATGTAGCAACGCACTAAGTACACAATAGACATGTAGCAACGCACTAAGTACACAATAGACATGTAGCAACGCACTAAGTACACAATAGACATGTAGCAACGCACTAAGTACACAATAGACATGTAGCAACGCACTAAGTACACAATAGACATGTAGCAACGCACTAAGTACACAATAGACATGTAGCAACGCACTAAGTACACAATAGACATGTAGCAACGCACTAAGTACACAATAGACATGTAGCAACGCACTAAGTACACAATAGACATGTAGCAACGCACTAAGTACACAATAGACATGTAGCAACGCACTAAGTACACAATAGACATGTAGCAACGCACTAAGTACACAATAGACATGTAGCAACGCACTAAGTACATGATAGACATGTAGCAACGCACTAAGTACACGATAGACATGTAGCAACGCACTAAGTACATGATAGACATGTAGCAACGCACTAAGTACACAATAGACATGTAGCAACGCACTAAGTACATGATAGACATGTAGCAACGCACTAAGTACACAATAGACATGTAGCAACGCACTAAGTACATGATAGACATGTAGCAACGCACTAAGTACACAATAGACATGTAGCAGTTCAGTGAAGTGACAACAGCAGGAAGTTTAAGAGTTAAAAGTAAATTATGACATTTTTCTACAATTTCAAAGCACTTGAAGCACATCACATCAAGGGAAAAAAATCACACATTCAACACACATTCAACACACATTCAACACACATTCATACACCAGTGTACGCACACACTGGGCGAGGAAAAGTGTTTTGCTCAAGGACACACAGCAGCATTCACCAACGGGAGCATCTCTCCTGGACAGAAGCCTTTACAGAATATGTGTTTTAAAGTCACAGCAGAAGGACCAAGACCAAGACCAAGACCAAGACCAAGGACCAAGGACCAAAGACCAAGGACCAAGACCAAGGACCAAGGACCAAAGACCAAGACCAAAACCAAGACCAAGGACCAAGGACCAAGACCAAGACCAAGGACCAAGGACCAAGGACCAAGGACCAAAGACCAAGACCAAGACCAAAACCAAGACCAAGGACCAAGGACCAAGGACCAAAGGCCAAGTCCAAGACCAAGACCAAGACCAAGACCAAGGACCAAGGACCAAGGACCAAGGACCAAAGGCCAAGGCCAAGACCAAGACCAAGGACCAAAGACCAAGACCAAGGACCAATACCAAGGACCAAGGACCAAAGACCAAGACCAAGACCAAGGACCAAAGGCCAAGACCAAGACCAAGGACCAAGACCAAGGACCAAGGACCAAAGACCAAGACCAAGGACCAAGGACCAAAGACCAAGACCAAGACCAAGACCAAGACCAAGGACCAAGGACCAAGGACCAAGGACCAAAGGCCAAGACCAAGACCAAGGACAAAAGACCAATACCAAGGACCAAAGACCAAGACCAAAGACCAAAGACCAAGGACCAAGGACCAAGACCAAGACCAAGACCAAGGACCAAGGACCCAAGACCAAGGACCAAAGACCAAGACCAAGACCAAAGACCAAGACCAAGACCAAGACCAAGGACCAAAGACCAAGACCAAGGATCAAGGACCAAGACCAAGGACCAAGACCAAGGACCAAGACCAAGACCAAGGACCAAGGACCAAAGACCAAAGACCAAGACCGAGGACCAAAGGCCAAGACCAAGGACCAAGGACCAATACCAAGGACCAAAGACCAAGACCAAGGACCAAGGACCAAGGACCAAGACCAAGACCAAGACCAAGGACCAAGGACCCAAGACCAAGGACCAAAGACCAAGACCAAGGACCAAGACCAAGGACCAAAGACCAAGACCAAGACCAAGGACCAAAGACCAAGACCAAGGATCAAGGACCAAGACCAAGGACCAAGACCAAGGACCAAGACCAAGGACCAAGACCAAGACCAAGACCAAGACCAAGGACCAAGGACCAAAGACCAAAGACCAAGACCAAGGACCAAGACCAAGGACCAAGGACCAAAGACCAAAGACCAAAGACCAAGACCAAGACCCAAGGACCAAAGGCCAAGACCAAGACCAAGGACCAAAGACCAAGACCAAGGACCAAAGACCAAGACCAAGGACCAAGGACCAAGGACCAAGACCAAGGACCAAGGACCAAGGACCAAGGACCAAGACCAAGACCAAGACCAAGACCAAGACCAAGACCAAGACCAAGACCAAGACCAAGGACCAAGGACCAAGACCAAAGACCAAGACCAAGGACCAAGACCAAGGACCAAGGACCAAAAACCAAGACCAAGACCAAGGACCAAGGACCAAGGACCAAGACCAAGACCAAGGACCCAAGACCAAGGACCAAAGACCAAGACCAAGGACCAAAGACCAAAGACCAAGACCAAGACCAAGACCAAGACCAAGGACCAAAGACCAAGACCAAGGATCAAGGACCAAGACCAAGGACCAAGACCAAGGACCAAGACCAAGACCAAGACCAAGACCAAGGACCAAAGACCAAAGACCAAGACCAAGGACCAAGACCAAGGACCAAGGACCAAAGACCAAGACCAAGACCAAGGACCAAGGACCAAAGGCCAAGACCAAGACCAAGGACCAAAGACCAAGACCAAGGACCAAAGACCAAGACCAAGGACCAAGGACCAAGGACCAAGACCAAGGACCAAGGACCAAGGACCAAGACCAAGGACCAAGGACCAAGACCAAGACCAAGACCAAGACCAAGGACCAAGGACCAAAGACCAAGACCAAGACCAAGGACCAAGACCAAGGACCAAGGACCAAGGACCAAAGACCAAGACCAAGGACCAAGGACCACAGACCAAGACCAAGGACCAAGGACCAAAGGCCAAGACCAAGACCAAGGACCAAAGACCAAAGACCAAGACCAAGGACCAAGACCAAGGACCAAGGACCAAAGACCAAAGACCAAGACCAAGACCCAAGGACCAAAGGCCAAGACCAAGACCAAGGACCAAAGACCAAGACCAAGGACCAAAGACCAAGACCAAGGACCAAGGACCAAGGACCAAGACCAAGGACCAAGGACCAAGGACCAAGGACCAAGGACCAAGACCAAGACCAAGACCAAGACCAAGACCAAGACCAAGACCAAGGACCAAGGACCAAAGACCAAGACCAAGGACCAAGACCAAGGACCAAGGACCAAAGACCAAGACCAAGACCAAGGACCAAGGACCAAGACCAAGACCAAGACCAAGGACCAAGGACCCAAGACCAAGACCAAGACCAAGACCAAGACCAAGGACCAAGACCAAGGACCAAAGACCAAGACCAAGACCAAGGACCAAAGACCAAGACCAAGGATCAAGGACCAAGACCAAGGACCAAGACCAAGGACCAAGACCAAGACCAAGACCAAGACCAAGGACCAAGGACCAAAGACCAAAGACCAAGACCAAGACCAAGGACCAAGACCAAGGACCAAGGACCAAAGACCAAAGACCCAAAGACCAAGACCAAGACCAAGGACCAAAGGCCAAGACCAAGACCAAGGACCAAAGACCAAGACCAAGGACCAAAGACCAAGACCAAGGACCAAGGACCAAGGACCAAGGACCAAGGACCAAGGACCAAGGACCAAGGACCAAGGACCAAG